GACTCTGTAAACCGCTTAGAGAGGGCTGAAAGCCCTGTGAAGCGGTATATAAGTCTAACTGCTGTTGCTATTGCTATAAGCTATAATAACAGAATCTTGAAAGTGTGACCCAGTTTCTCTTCCCTTCCCTCTGCTACCAAAGAGAGTGAAGACAGCCCATCCAGAGTTTCTTCCCTCCTTTCTGTCTTTCCAGATTAAGTTCATGTTTTACTACTAGCTGCTTCAGACCTTGTTCAGGCTGTACTCTTCTTCACTTATCAGGAAAAAAAAAATCAAGTGCATTCTTCAGATTTTTTTAAAAAAGAATTTGTTGATAGATTTTTTCCCCCCATCGTTTTAAACACACTTTAGATAACAAGGTCATCTGGACATGTTTGTACAGAAATCTTTAACACCACTATCTGAAAATTTTGATTTGTTTATCAAACCCTACCCAAGCCCTCTCTGCTTAGATCAGGGAACCTTTGACAGCTTTGTTTAGTCTACCAACTCAAGGCTGCTCCTTTCTTCCGTGTTGGCAAAGCCTAAGCTTTGAAATGAGGCACTTAGCTTTTATTAATCATTATATAACCACCTAAATGGCTGGTTAGATATTACCTCCAGTTAGGAATCAATTCAATCTTTGGAACAACCTTTGAGGGACCTTGCACATAATCTTTCAGGGTTTTTATTACCAGATTAAGCTTTCCATATTGTGTATCACTCCCAAAATAAATTTTGACACACCAGTCAGTGTTATTACAGTATAGAAACGCGCACGTAAGTTCTGGCTGGGAATAAATACAACAATAAACTATGATTTACTGTTGCATTAAAGAAAGAGTTGAGTTACTTCCCTTTCCTTCTCTCCTTCTCTGATGAGGCTCTGAGATCAAAGGAGTTTGTCTTCCGCTTTCAACCGGTTCCACCACAAATGCGCGAACGACAAAAGCGCGCCTGACTAAACCGCGGTGACAAAACCGCGCCAACAAAACCGCGCCGACGAATGAGCGCTGAAGCACGCCGACAACAGCGCACCGACAGAAGCACGTTGTAACCTAACCCTAAACTTAACCCTAAACCTAACCCTAAACCTAACCCTAAACCTAACCCTAAACCTAACC